CAGCTAAAGATATGATTTGGCACATTACCGGATGATCTAAAGATGGTACGATGATTCATCCAGTTGATGGTACTTCATGGAAAAAATTCGATATGAAGTATCCTAACTTCTCGAGGGAACCCCGAAACGTATGCTTAGGGCTTGCTGCTGATGGTTTTAATCCGTTTGGTAACATGTGTAATCCTCATAGCACGTGGCTCATCATACTCACCACTTACAATCTTCCACCATGGCTATGCATGAAATAATCATCTTTCATGATGACCTTGTTGATTCCCGGTCCCAAAGCACCCGGGAAGGACTTGGATGTGTTACAGTTTAGTGTGGTAGAAATACTAGCATAACACGCTCGTCTATTATTTCGTCCATCGGGTAAAGTAGCTGCTCAACGAGCTGGTATTAAGAGACATTGCGAGGATTTCGAGTTGAATTGGTCTAAAAAGAGTATATTCTTTCAACTTGAATATTGTTCTTCTCTAGAGCTTAAGCACAACTTTGATCTTATGCATATTGAAAAAAATGTGGGTAAGAGTCTTGTGGGTACTTCTCTGATGAATGATAACTCTAAAGACGCATCAAATGCTCGGGCGGACTTGACAAAACTGAACATTCGGAAAAGTCAATGGTTGAAAAAAAGTAGCAACAAGTTCAAAAAACCTCATCCACTTTACTCGTTCACGAAACCTGACCGCATTTGTTTTTGCAAGTTCATAAGAAATGTGAAACTGCCAGATAGGTTTGGATCTAACATCGGTAAGAAAATGAATGAAACCAATACTAAGATTATTGGATTGAAATCTCATGATTATCACATTCTTATGCAACGTTTGTTACCCATTAGAGTTAAAGGTCTTTTGGGGAAAGGTGTTTATACACCAATAATCGAGCTTTGTATGTTTTTTAAGCAACTTTGCTCAAGAACACTATCGGTAAAGGATATGAAAGAAGCGAAACCATCCATTATTAAAATATTGTGCAAATTAGAAGTGATCTATCCTCCTTCATTTTTTGACATTATGGTTCATTTAGTTTTTCATTTACTTGATGAAGCTATTTCCAGAGGTCCAGTATGTATGAGATGGATGTATCCCTTCGAAAGGTATACGAAAAAAAATAGAAAACTATGTTAGAAACAAGGCAAGGTCGTAAGGTTCTATAACTGAGGGTTATGTCGCTGAAGAGGCATTATCATTTTGTTCGATGTACCTTGAAGATGTTGACACTCGATTCAATCTCTTCAAAAGAAACGAGGATGTTGTCATAGAAAAAACAAAGTTATGGGTGTTTCAGTCTAAGTGTCGACCGGCTAGCACAACGAAAATGAAAAATCTCAGTCTAGTGGAGAGAAAACGTCTACATTGGTTTGTGCTTGATAGTTATGAGGAAGTTAGAAAGTATATTGCGTAAGTGTTCTTATATTTTAATTCATTATCTATTTTTAATTTCTCATTTTTTACTCTCTCTCTCTCTCTCTCTCTCTCTCTCTCTATATATATATATATATATATATATATATATATATATATATATATATATATATATATGAAAAGGGAATATACATTACAGCCCTACCTAAGTTTAGGTACTAAACCCTCTTGAAAATACATTGTTTTACTATATAAAGATTACGGTTAATGGATTCACGATTAATACTTCAAGATGTAAATTCAAGATCGACACAATAGGGTTTAGAGTTTAGAGTTTAGGGTTTAGGGTTTAAGTTTATGTTTAGGGTTTAGGGTTTAGGGTTTAGGGTTAAGGTTTAGGGTTTAGGGTTTAGGGTTAGGGTTTAGGGTTTAGGGTTTAGGGTTTACGGTGTAGATTTAGGGTTTAGGGTTTAGCTTTAGTGTTTAGGGTTTAGTAATATTCACTTAGATGAAGTAATAAACGATAGTTGAGGAAAGAAACCGGAGATGATAAAACGATAATGAAAGAAAGAAATGTTATGGATAATGATATATTTACCAAGTGAAACCAAACCGGGTATATTTAGCACGTTAAAACAACATTTTTAAGAGGTTTAGTACCTAAGCTTAGGTGGGGCTGTAATGTATATTCCCTATCCCCTCTATATATATATATATATATATATATATATATATATATATATATATATATATATATATATATATATATATATATTCATCAATGTAGTGAATTCAAATCATTACATCCTGAAAATAATGAAAAAACTGAATTCCCTAAATGGTTCCTTCATAAGGTCTATGATATGCAAAAACAAAAAATCTCCAGAGTTTAATAAGGAGTTATCGGCTCTTTGAATCGATGTGCATGCGAATGCCTTTACTTACACCGCTTGGATAGAGAATGGTGTTAGGTTTATGGTACTTATGCGTGACGCCCAACGATCAACACAAAACTCGGGGGTTCTAACTGAGGGAGAGAATAGGCAGAAATATTATGGTTAGCTAGAATATATTATCGAGTTGCATTATCCTCATAAATATTCCACCGTACTTTTTCGTTGCACGTGGTTCGATACTGCAGGAGTTAAATCTAATATTAATTTCACCAGTATCCACCCACAACGCGAAATGAGCAGTGGAGGTCAAATCATATTTGCCACGCAGGCCAATCAAGTATTTTACGTCCAAGAACCTTCTCAAAGTGACGAAAATGACAACCAACGATGGGTTGCTGAAAATGTTAATCATAGAAGAATTTGGGATCTACCAATGATTAATAGAGACGACCATGATCCCATTGGGGAGGTGTACGAATGCTTCATTCGGGAGGTTGGGAGCTACATGTGGCTGTCACAGCCACAAGCATTGCAACCAACACAACTACTTGTTAAATTCTTAAAGAATTTGGTAGCTTTGTTATATTGTTAAGAACTTAATATATTTGTAGTAATTTTTGGTAGCTTGGTAGTTTGTTAAATTATTAAAGACTTAATTGATTTGGTGCTTTGATGGTTTGATAGTTTGTTGAATTTTTAATGACTTAATGTGCTTGTGATTTAATTAGAGGATATTGATGTGAATGCTTTTCTTTAAAACCCGAAATTTGTGACGGCCATTGGAGACATTATTCGCTCGTTTAAAAACCAAGTTAACCAGAAAAATAACGATGGGGAGGACGATGACAACTAGTATTTCTTGTTTTACGATATGGAGGATGTTATTTTGGATTTTGAAGATAGTTTATGTATGATATATATTAGATGTTTGTTTGAGATTTATTAGATATTTTATGGAATATGGTATGTTTGATGTTTTTATATAATGTGGTATATATTTATTTATGTATTTTTATCAAAACTGTATTTTATAATATATATATAAATTAATATTATAAAAAATATGTTTTCTCTCAAAAAAATAAATTAAATAATAAAAAAAAACCATTTGCAACGACGCCTTTAGGGACGACTACGATTAATTGTGACGACGCAGACCTCCGGGGAGGTTTGTCGGAGAAACTCCGGCCGGTTGCCGGTATATTAATAGAGACAGCGTTATTAGCGACGATAATGATGTATTGGGGACGACAGGTATTAGAGACGACAACCGGCTATTAGCTACGAAGCAATTGCGGCGACGCATTAGTGACGAGCTGTCGTCGCTAAAGGTTAGTTTTTTTGTTGTGTTACTATGTAACTTACTAAGTATGTACACCCATCAGGAGAAGGAATTATACTACTTAGAATAGTGGTTTAAACTTGGTTGAGAAAATAATGGTGGGGCCGCTTTAAAATCTAAAAAAAAACTATTTGGTATGAAATTAAATCATAAACATTATTTATAATAAAACTGTTTTAATTTTCATCAAACGGAGGGTTTTTTGGATATCAATTCCAAATACTTTCAAATCCCTGAAATGTCTCAAACAACCGGAAACAACATATATATTTTCTTGTTGATTACTCTTTCTTTGGTTTGGTTTTAAATTGTGATAAATGGGTACAAAATATATTATATAAACATAGACGTGAAACTAATAGAAATTGTACATGTGTTAGGAGATAAAGATATAATATATTTAAGAGATAAATTATAAATATATAAAGAATCCTACTGTTACATATATACTAACACTCCAAATAGCCTTTATATATTGATCCTCTTATCCCACAAATATCAGAAAGCAAACATCGATCGGAGAGGAAACACAGAGAACGGATCAAGTTTCATTGTCAATAAGAGGTAATCTTTAGACATCAACTATTTGAATGTTTATGTTTTCAGTAAGCATTTCAAATGTAGAATAAAAGGCAACAACGAAAACCATACCAATAGTAAACATAAAATATTTTATAAAGAATATATTGAAGATTCTTGCCATTGAGCTGAAGTTAATAATCAGACGGGTTAGTGTAAATATACTGAAAAGAGAAAAATATCTGTATATATATATTTTTTAATTATATAAGTATATAACGTAACAAAAGTAAGTTTTTTATACAACAATACATACTAATTCGTTTGCAAAGTATATCTTGTATCAAATATCTAGGTTTAATTGTTGTGTTATGTTCTACGACAATTTTGAGAATACACTAGTTTAAGGATGTTGTTTGGTGCATCAAAACAGGTGGATGATCCGCCAAGAATATTTTTTGAGACTTTTATTTTAAATCTATTGTTCTATATATGTTTATCTTTTTACAATAAGTTTCATGTGTCCAGTAGAATTATGATCGCATATTCTGCCACTATTATTTTTATATAAACACTTTGTTTAACTTTATCGAGTAGTTCTACGGTTATTCATGTATTGCTCCTCTCTAATCACAAACATTCAATCAGAAAGCCAGAATTGAAGAGATAACATATATACACATATTAGTAGCCTCCTTTGGATTAAGATTTAAATTTCTACGTTAACCTTGGAATTTTTTTCATAAATGAAAAAAAATTTCAAATTTTATATATGAAAAGAAAAAAAGTCAAAATTTTATATATGAAAATCTACCAAGGTTTTTAAGTTTTTGAGAGTTTTTAAATGAAATATGTAGTGTTGATTGTTGTGTATCATGATTTTTATCTAATACATTTTGATTTTTGCAGATAGCTAGTTTAGTATTTTTTAGCAACAAAAATGGGGTTCAAAGTGGCAACAATCATACCAAAATGTTTTGGATCTGAAAAGAAGAAACGGATGGTGGTGGTTGGTGGTGATCGTTATAAACTTGATATTTCTTACATCACTGAGCGCATACTAGCAATGTCATTTCCTTCTGAGCTAATGAGATCGATGTATCAAAATCCTATGACACAGGTCAAGAAAATTTTGGAAAAAAGACATCCTGGACACTACAAGGTAACATAATTATTCACCAAACATGTTTGATTAAATTGGTAAGAAATCAAATTACTGTTTTCTCACATTGTTCAACCTTGTAGGTGTATAACTTGTCTACGGAGCAAGCTTATGATCCATCTCATTTTAAAGATCTTGTTGAAAGATTCCCATTTGATGATAATCATGCCCCATCACTCCAAATGATCAAGGAATTCTGTGAAAGTGTCCATTCATGGCTTTCAAGTGACCCAAAGAATATTGTCTTCGTTCACTGCATGGTAAGCATTCAAATTCTATAATTTTTTGGATTTTTCATATTCATGTAGATTATTTATTGATATAAAAAGTAAATATTTATTGAAAATTCAACAGGAAGGTAAAGGTCGGATAGGGTTGATGGTATCTTCTTACTTAGTTTACGCCGGCATATTAGCAGAAGAGACTCATCAGGTTTATGCGGATAAAGGGACAACAAAATATCTTCAAGTAAGTTTTAGTTTTTCAAATTTTCTTCCATTTATGACGATGAATATCTTAAAGGAACGTGTAAACAAAATCAATATCGAAATATGTGCAGGTGATGATTCCAAGCCAACGACGTTACGTTAACTACTGGCATAAATCTCTAACCTTTTCCGATGGCTGCTCACCAAAGGTCAACCTTCCAAAACAATGTAGCAAAGAGATCAGGAAGATTCGACTTTTTGACACCAAAACCATAGAATCAGTCTTCTTTGTTGTATCAGAAATGCAAGAGGTTGCTGGACAACGATATCGATCACCGGCAGTTGCTTACCGGAATTTCTGCAGAAAAAGTAGGAATGATGATTTAGGGAACTCGGAGATCGAGGAAGAAGAGCAACGTAACTGCCTTGACCACTACTTTAATGAAAAAACAATACAGGTTACCGGAGATGTTTGTTTGATATTCTACGAAAAGAACATTGGAGGTCGTCTCTTCTATGCTTGCTTTAATACCGCGTTCATTGAAAATGACTTGATGAAGGTAATTCAGTTGGTCTTGTTAAGTTTGAATGTTGGATGTAAATATATGATGGGATTCTAATTTTAGCCTTTTTGATTTTTTTTTTCAGTTTTCGATTACCGAATTAGATAAAGTTGGAAATAAGGGCAAGTCGATAGCCGGTGATGATTTCCGCGTGGAATTGCTTTTTAGTCCTGCGAACCGTAATACTATTGACTCGTAGTGATGGCAAAGATAGCTAAGGGGCATTTGCGTTCTTGCTTTTTGGTTTCTATCCATTTAACATTTGACTTTTAACTTAATGAACTTGGAATGTGTAAACTGCAATTCATTTATGATTTGTGTTGGACCCACAAACCGGATAGAGGATATTGAAAAATGGTGTAAATAGATATCTTTTGGTTTTACTAAAGTTTTTATTTATTTTTTTGTTTTTTGTTGATAATTTCTTTCAGTTCTTAAATGTAAACTAAGGCATATGGAAAATATATATATATATATATATATATATATATATATATATATATATATATATATATATATATATATATATATCAATGAACTTTTATAAATTTGATTACTATACCATCCAATTATAGTTATCAAACAGTTGATCTAATAGAAAGTCATATCCATTTATGACATCAATTTCTGCTGTTTTGGCAGAAGTTGATGGCTGAGAGTCCTCCCAAACACATTCACCATCACGTTTATCAACAATTCCATGGTCTAGAAAATTCTTCTATAAAAAGATAATGAGACTTGTTTAAGGGATTTCAATATTAGTCAAATTCCTTCAATATACAAATTCAAGATGACTTCCCTAACTTGTCTTTACTAGTTTCTATTGCTTTCAAGTTTCACCTGCATAATTTTTTTTTTTTTACATTAAACACATATTATATATAGTTGCAGTATGGTAATAAAGAACAATTCATGGATTCCAATACCAACAAGCCATAATGCATAAGAATAGGTTCAAGTTCAATGTGCTTATGTAGAATATATCCACACAAGCCAAGGTAAATCATTAAGAAAGTCACATTGATAATATACCAATATAGCTCGAAGATCATCTGGGCTAAATTGTACTCCTCGGCTTTCCATTTTCCTCTTAATATATGCCTGGTGTGGATACATATGGACACGATTATGAACAAAAGCATCTATAAAATATTCAATAATTTCATAGACGTTATTTTCTAGTCGAAACCTACTATACATGACCATGTGCATTTTTTTCACTGGAATTCGGGTTCATGACCAGCCTTAACATTATGAACACAAAGTGAAAGTACCAAAACTTAACTTCGTGAACAGACTGGTATGAAATAATGAAATAGGAAATTTCAAAACATTGGCCTTCATAAACAGTGGGGTTAAATTATTAAACTTGTAAAATGAACCCTATATAATGATTTTATTTAAATTCAATACGAAAACTAACAAAAACCACAAAAAATTACGTGATTGAAACCATATAAAAACAAAACCTTTGAATTCTATTAATTGGGCCCTTGGATTGGATGGCATTGTTCGATAGGATAATTTAATTTCAATTTTGTTTTCATTTCCCTTTCTCGATATGCTCGAGTTTAGTTCGAATTTAGAAAATATTCGTAAAAAATCCGTTTGAGAACTATAAATTTTCATAAAAGTCACTACATTTTAATTTATTTTTTAATTTTGATACGTTATCATGTCATGTGCCACTGAATTACCGATCAAATGCTCAACATTGAAAAAAATGGAAAATGTAGTATCAAAATCGAACGGTTGTGGAAACTTGGTATTTATTCTAAAAGAAAATATACCATTGTGTCAAAATCAAAATTTTATGAAAACTTGTTTTTATATACAAATTGGCCAATAAAAAACTTAAAAAAATAACAACGTAGTTAACCCACACAATCTAATTTTACCAAACTAAAACTTTAATTAACAACATACCAAACTAACACTAAAACTTCGGTTAACGTTGGAGAGCAGGTCCAATTTAGTTTAAATTGTGATCTAACTTTGGTTAAATGCTGGCAATCGAATCCTAACACAAAGAAACATAGAGATAAATAAAGAGAGAAAAATCAATGATGATTTTAACTTGGGGAAAAATTAAAAGATGATGAAGATTAGTAAATACAAAAAAATTTAATTAAAACCCCATGGGATTTTCGGCAATAAATGTTTATGAAGGTCAACGTGAAGGAAGGTTGAAACTAAGCCATGACCCAAAGGTGAAGGAAGAAGCTGGAGAAGGGGCGGTGATTTATTACGGGAAGGAGAGAGGTATCACGAGTAGGGAAGTGAATGTAGAGTAAAGGTGGTGGAATGAGAGGGATTTGGGTCTATGATGATGGCAATTCAAGGTGGTAAAAGATAAATACATAGAAAAAATATAATATAATAAGGCGATGTTAAAAAAAATTGTCTAATCAAAACCGACACCTTCGTAGTAAAGAAAAAACAAGGAAGCTCCAAATGAATACACCGCGTCTTTGACATATCTCAAATTCATGTTACAAGCACAACTAACACTACTTTCGATTAAAATCCTTTTCGCAATTTGTGTTTGACAAACTTTCTTATAACCCCACAAATTATTAAAAACCTTATTTTTTGCGTTGTTTTACTATCGATAATATATTTATTGTCATTAAATTTGACGAATTTGGTTTTCATGTGAAAGAATACTGAACTCGTCAAATCCTCCTTTGATGCAGCAACAGGGTGATCTGTATCCCGTAAACGTTCCGACACAATAATCATTTCTCTCGGTTAGCACCTTCATGTAGCACGAAGCTTAGTGAGTTCCCCAAAATACCACACACACCTCACTCGAGGCTAACTCAATACGAACCTCTGGTCAGTGTGTACCAGTGGAGACCCTCCGGTCCTACAACTCAGATGGACCCTCCAGCCCTAACTCAATAAGTTTATAACAATAAGCATGAACCATAAAGACAAAATGTAGAGTATCACAATACATAGATAAGCACATAAGACATCTCAGTCACGCAAGGATACCACTCATGGTAACTATAGTGAGAAGACTCACCTCGTAAGCTAGCAAGTAAAAGTATCGTACTCGGGAATCTTGAACTAGCCTCCGCCTTTTGTTGAAGCTCTTGGATGAATAACAATAGATCGAACAGCCTCCTTTCATTCCTTGCTTGAAATCCATCTCTTCTCTTCCAAAAATGCACCAAGATACCCAATATAAGCTCACACACTCTCTATTAGCTTAAAGGGCAATTAGGTTTTCTCTCAGTGAAGGAAAGCAACCAATGAGCCACAAATGAGGCTATAAGTGCCCTTATATAGGCCCCAAACCCGGGGATTTAGGGTTTTCTTCACAACGTCTACTCGGCGATTCGGTTCTCAGACTTGTTGAGTAAATCATTAATCCACGTGGCACATCGTGACCCTACTCGACGAGTTGTAGCACCAACTCGTCGAGTTGCTCAATAATTCTCCAAATAAATAAATAAACAATATACCTAGAAGTACGAGACCCCCACGAGAATCAGACTTCGCCCTCGAAGTCATGCTCTAGAAATAACTCTGGGCACTACTCTCGCATCTCGGATTCCATCTCCAAAGTCAACTCAGACCTTCTTCGATGTTGCCACTAGACCTGAAACAGGGGCACCTGGTTGTTCCTCAGAACCTTCACCTTTCGATTCAACATCGCAATCGGCCTCTCAATATAATTCAGGCTCGCATCCACTTGAATGTACTCTAATGGCACTATTGTCGTCTCACCGGCTACCCACTTCCTCAGATCAGACATGTGGAAGGTGTTATGGATCTGACTCAGCATTACAGGTAGCTCCAGCCGGTATGCTACCTAACCCACTCTGGCGGTCACTTTGAAAGGGCCAATGTACTGGGGCCTCAACTTGCCTCACTTCCAGAATCGTATCACCCCTTTCCAAGGGGATACCTTTAGGAGTACAAAATCTCTGACCTAGAACTCCAGCTCGGATCGTCGCCTGTCTGCATAACTCTTCTGGCAACTATAGGCCGTCAGTAATCTCTTTCTGACGTGCTGAATCTACTCAGTCATCTTCAACATTATCTTAGTGCCACCCATCACTCGCCTCCCTACCTTTCCGCAACAAATGGGAGTCCGACACTTTCTCCCATAAAGAAGCTCAAAGAGAGGCATACCAATACTCGAATGATAGATGCTGTTGTAAGAAAACATAGCCAAGGGAAAATAAGTGTCCTAACTTCTTGTGTATAAGCTAAGATATGAAGTTGTAACTTCAGATCTGAACTCTCTTGGTCTTCTAAGTCCATAAAGCTTCCAGCTCTTGCAAGGATGAGACTCTCCTAAGGTGTAAAGCTCCACTAGAAGCTAAGATTTGTCATTTAAATCCCCTAGGGGCTTGCATGCACGTACAATTTGCAAATTTACGTGATAAACATGCCTGAGAAGCTTGGATCTGTAATCTGGAAGCTTGGCATGGCTTAAAACGTGTCTGCATAGATGAAGGTGTGAAAGGACTCGACGAGTTGCATAGTCAACTCGACGAGCCGTATGAAGATGGCCATGTACTCGACGAGTTGGATGAACAACTCAGCGAGTCCGTTGAAGATTGCCTTGAACTTGGCGAGTCAGTTGAAGACTCGAAGAGTCGGCTAGGGTTTCTCTCAACCTTTGGACACGTATGAACTCGATGAGTTATAGGGAAACTCGATGAGTGAACCTGGGATTTCACGACTTCTCGAGTCCAGGAAGAACTCGACAAGTCAGTAAACTGCACTCGACGAGTTGGGTCAACATGGACTGTTGATTTTGATTGTGGACGTGGACTTTGACCAAGGTTTGACCAGTTGACCTCTAGGGTATTTTGGTGATTTGCAAATTTATGAAAAAGGGTTTTGTGGTAACTTTAGGTGGAGGAGTTCGTGTTGGTGATCCGAGTGTTGAGCTTATCACTTCAGTGCGAAACTTGAAAGGTGACTTCTCTTCACTATATCAACAGGGTCTACATCACCAAGGTCGGCCCTTTATGATTTACATCATGGTTTATGATGGTTGCTATGTTATTGCTATGCTAGATTTCATCTTGGTTTAGGATGGTTGCTATGTTAGATTTCATCTTGGTTTAGGATGGTTGTTATGCTAGAGATCGGTTAGATCGGTATCTTAGTTATGAGATGGTTGCCATGTTAGTGATATGTTAGATTTGCATGGTTACTTGTTTATATGTATGT